CTCCCTCTCCAGGAGGCCATGTCGGGCGAGGACCACGAGGTTCGGACAGTGGTTGAGGATGGCTCCAACGGAGGCAGTGGCTCGCCCAGCCCTGGGGACACACTGCCCTGGAACCTGGAGAAAACACAGCGGAGCCGGCTAAGCGGAGGTGGCCCTGGGGGGAATGGGAGTGTCTTGGACCCTGCCGAGCGGGCAGTCATCCGCATTGCAGGTAACGACGCTGAAGAGCTTCGTCTGTCCAATTCATAAACATTTGCTTGTTGACCGAGCACGTGCTGTGTGCTCTGTGCAGGTGTAGGACTGGGATGAGAGACGTGAGGGTGATCTGCGGGTCAGAGGGGGTTGCAGACAGCACAGCGCCACCTGCTGGCTCCACCCGGTCAGCTGCATGAGGCCTGAGGTTGAGCTTGCTGAGTTGGCACCATCATTGGTCTCAGGACAAGGGTCCAGTGTCCAGATGTGATGATGACACTTTCTTGGGATCCTGGGGCAAAGCCGCCTTCGAGGCCCCTGGTCTTGGCTGCCACCATGGGGGTGGGGTGGGTAGAAGCATATAGGAGCAGGACAGGAGGGGCCACCTGGTTGGCGAGAGCCCCAGCCAGTGTCCGGCCTTGCCCTCTAATAGCTGCCATTCTTGCGGAGAGGATGGGGAAGGCCCAGTGCAAGGCCCCTGACAGTGTCGGGCTGGCAGCTGGACAGTGGCTCCTCCCTTTGGGAAGTAGGTGACCTAGGGCTTGAGGCTATTGGGCAGGGCATGCTGGGAAGGGAGGAGCCAGCTGAGGGTCTCTGGATCAGTCTGTGGACTACTGACCCTGTCCCGTCGGCTAGGACAGAATGATGATGAGGGTCTGGGGGATGGGCTGACCCTGCAGGAGACCGGGAGGGTGGACCGAGGTGCGTGGGAAGAGGCCTGGAAGCCCAGTGTTGGGCGAGGATGGTGGCGGGGGCAGCAAGGACCTCTGTGGGTGGAAGCACAAGCAATAGCTTGTGGGGACGCAGGGGAGCGGGACAGCGTGAAGGGAAACCTCACCGTCTGCCCCACCCCCGGGAGCCGGTGTGGACATGGCACGGGACCGCCAGTCCTTTTCACATGTCACATCCGGATGTTAAAGGACGAGGTTCTTTTTCACTCACGTGAAAGTGAACCCTGAATGTCCCCCCGCAGCCCCGGGCCCTCTTCACTAGCAGGCCCTGCGGGCGCTCCGTGTGTATGCCTGGCGACCCTCTTAGCCCTGAGCTCTGGAAGTGGGGCTTCTGGCCACAGTGTTTGCGGCATTTCCAGTTAGAGGAACACTGCCGGGGGCATTCTGGAGAGGGCATTTCTCAACACTGGAAGATGGGGGATTGCCATTCTGACGGGTGGCAAAGAATTTGTCTTTTTTTTTTTAACCAAAATCATTTTTTCTTCTGTAAATTACCTATTTCAGTCCTTTTATTCGTAGTTAAGTTTTTGTGTGTAAGGGTTCCATATTGAAGATACCCACTCCACCTCCCAGGTTGCAATAGAAGGATCCTATGTAGCGGCGGTTGGAGCAGAAGGGCGGGGGGGCGGCCAGGTGAGGTCGCGGGGTCTGGCAGGGTGGTGGAGAGCTCGCGGCTGGGGAGGGAGGGTGCCCCTGCAGCGCCGGGTGCGGAGGACTCGGGCTGTCGGCAGGCCGGCGACTGAGGCGGGGGCGGG